GACAATTTTAAAAGATTTTTTTTTCTAGCTTTTTCTGCCTTTAGTTGGAGACAGGACAGCGGATAGCGTCAGAAACCGCAGAGAGAGAGAGAGAGGGGAGTGACAGGTCGGATTCAAACCCTGGGCCGCCTCTGAGGACATTTTTACAAAATAGAAATATCAATCCGAATTTGGAAAAACTGCATGCATAAACACATCTATATATTTAACCCTGTGCAGTAGTTTGTGCAAATGCATGTCTGTATAAAACCCGGTGCAATAGGGCGATTCAAATCACAGCAGCACTTTAAAATGACAGGCTCTGGGGCAAATGTGCAATTACTTCATAATCCGGCACTTTACCTCACGCAGCAGCACTTTTACTCTGAAGGTCACTTCATTATCCTGGTTTGTTTTGAACAACATCGCATGGCCACGTTTGATGCTTGTATAAATGTGTCTATGTGAACTGCTGTTGTCTTTGTAGTGTTATGTAAAAAAAAATGATACGTGTGTACCACAAACCTGCAAAGGATGGAAGCTAGCCTAAAGCTATACAACAGCTTATTTACATGTTAATGTTCATTAATGTGTACCGTCCCTATTTTAAATAAAATAAAAATAAAGAATAACTGACTTTATTCTGTTTCCACGTCATGACAGTAAAGTTCTGAGTCCAGAGGACATTTCTTATCAAGTACAGATACTTGTGTGTGAAAAGGTCTCCGGTAAAAGAATAAGTTCTGACTCAGCTTTTTTTACTGAAGTGAAAAATGATGAGTGCAGGTTCTGAAATGTCCTTAAAGTAAAGTAAAGTGTCCCTCTGAAGGACTTTTCCACTTCCCCCACCCCCCCCTGCCTATCCGTCATGGTGTCAGCAGATGGGTTCAAACTGGTCCTGATGCTGGGAGAGCTGTGTGGAACGATGGCAATGAAACACTCGATAATTTCACTGTTCAAATCTGTGAGTTACAAGTTTAAAAAGGTGATAGAAATATAAATGTTTCAAGTGAAGTTCCTAAACTTAAAAACTGTATTGATACTCTCTCCTGAAGTCAGAGTGAACCACAGGCAGCAGAGCCCTGAAGCCTTCGACGTGGAGGACAAAGTGTCTCCCTGCATCTCTGACTGCTGCCTCAGCATCCATTAAAGCCGGCAGCAGACAGCCAATGAGGCAATGGGTGAAAACTTAATGTTTCACAGCAGATTCAATTTCAGAGGGAGATTTAGTTTAGGCCGACATATCTCATTTTATGATACTGAACGAGAAACGTCCGTTCACCGACATCGAGCGAAGTGAATGAGGTGGAAATACTAACACTTTAGGTAAGACATACAGTCCTCTATGGTTGTAATATCAGAGCTCTTTTTCCATTAATGTTATGTAAAGCTCCATGACTGTATGATATATGTACATTACTTATGGTATAAAAGCTCTAATCTGCAGATTTAAATCTATAAGTCTTCTTAAAAGCTTCTTTTAAAGGCAGATATGGGAGTGTGATTTAAGAACATAGGCACATGCAATTTTTTTCACGTGTGCAAACCACCATGGCGTGATCTTATCTAATGTTTAGAGGCGTTGCTTGTCAACAGGCAAAGTAGGTGACTGCTTGGGGCCTCAGGCCAGCAGCGGGGCCCCAAGCAGTCACCTATTGCCTAAAGGGCCTGACATCGGAAGTCAGTAGTTGGACTGTCTCTGAGCAATCGTCAAACTAGTTTTTGCGGAGGGCAAATGTTGCCCGTCAGCCCCTGTCGGCCTTTTTTTTGCCAATTCGACATGTTGAATCAATGTCAGCGGTCAGTGAGAGGAATCTCTCTGATTGGCTGTTGGGAGGTTTCATTTTTATCCAGCTCTCAGGTTCAGGAAAGCCCCTTGAGCATGCCTCTGTAGTATCCCATTAGTGCGGTTTCTCCTTATTTGTCAGCTTTTTCCACTAAAAGACCAAGGACTGACAACGCCAGCGCCATTTTCAACTTTTTATCAGACATTATTCTCCATTAGTAGGCTACCTATTGCACCATTTTCACACCGACAGCGGTGTGAGAATGGTCTTCTCGTATAATAACAACAGACTACCGCCCCCTGCTGGCATGGAGAGTTATTTCCCCTCACACATAAACAGAACGTACGTGGTGGTTGGCCGTCGGCTGTAGTCTTTGCGGTGTGTTCAAGTGCAACTTTTTGGTCAAGACGTGAGGCGAGGCCACAGTTGGTCCTCGTCACCACTAGTTCTTTGCCGTCGGCTTGGTGTGTCAGGGCCTTAAGGGGGCCCAATTTACCAGCACGCCATCTCAGTGACAATATATAAACTTCATAACCAGAGAAACAACACCAGAATAAAAACATGGTCTCTGCGAATGCCATAGTTTACCATGTCAGATAACTTATAATGTAACGATGATAAAGAGTGTTGGAGGGGCCCCCAGTGAATCTTTTTTCCTAGGGCCCCAACAGACTCTAGAATCCCAACTGGCTGTTCCTTTATGTAGACCAGCCTGGTAGTTTACTATGAGGTGAAGGTGAAACACACCAGTTTATATTCTTATCATAATACAGCTTAATATTTATTTTCAGTTTTGACTGACAAATGAATTGAAGTCTTTATTTTCAAACATGTACTCCCCCTGCCAGATTTAATTGTATCATTACCCCACCCTCTATCAAAGAATAGTTTTTGAATATCTAAAAAAGTAAAAAAGGAAGTTCTGATTATCTGGAGCTGTGCTTACCATAAAACTTGAATAAATAGCCCTGGCTTTTATTCAGATCAGGCTATAAAATGACTCTGCCTTAAATGGGAAAGACGTCAATACAAGACGACGGGCCTTTAATGATTTTTCAACAACGCTCGTGCATAGCAAAAATGGGTAAGACTATGTATGTCTTTGTATGTCCGCCCCTCTCTGTCAACCTGCTGCACTGTGCGGGAGACCCCGGTTAATATAAAAACTAATGAGTTGTGTGCTGGCCTATGGAGCTATGGAAACATATCATAGCGTCAAAATTCCCTTTAAGGGATGGAAAGACACTTTTGTTTTTGTCATTTCAAAATGTATTCCCATCTTTGGAGACAGAGCAAGCTGCAGAGTCGTCCTCACAGGGGTGTGTCCAGACTTTTTGGACTGGGGAGGCCGACCTGGGGCGCTGACTTTTGTGGACACACATACGCAAATACATTTTATTGTTTTTACCATTTGTATCCAAACTAATGATATTTACTTATTAACACAATGTGGCGACATGTAAATCTTCTTAATTTGATTCTTTAGAGACTCAAAAAAAAGATGTGCAAAGTCACAATTTAAAGAACTTATTATTGCATGCAAACTTTTAACGCCATACAACTTGCAAAAATACATTTATTTGCAATTGCAGGTTAGAAAGTTAGTTAGTTAGTGTGCACGAGTTTTTGCTTGTATTTAATTACAACTGAAAGTACACACAAAAAATGTACTACCTTAACGAATGAAGAAAAATACCAACAGCCTGTTAAAAACAACCATTAAAGTTCATCTTAACTTAAATCCCGTCTCTGATTAGGCCAATCATAGATTTGAATTTTGGGGTGGCAAACCAGATTTTGAGGTGGCCCGTGCCACCCCTGGACCATCCCTCAGACACACCCCTGCGGATGTCCCTCCTGTCACTCCTGTCCTCCTTACTGTTGTTCCTCAAACTATTTCAACACTAAATTCACTGTGGCCTCTAATTAAGATCTGCCTCCATTGGTCAAAACATGCAGCAACAGGAGGATAGTAAAATGGACCGGGCCTTAAATTGGGATGGGCTTTTATTTTAAGTTTTATGGTAATGTTAAACGTGAGTTAGAAAACGTTTTTCTGTCTGACTATTATTAATTGTCTTGATCGAGCCACTGATGGCTGCATGTTGCTGTTTTCTGCAGTTGGGATTCAATGTCATTGTGACAAGTATGCCTTTTTGTAACGGTATAACAAGACCCAAGAATGTCATTTTTATGTTTAAAATTATTTTCTTTTTTTAAAACATTTTCCCCAAGAGGGAAAATATGTGAAAGTAAGATTTTAAAATATAATTTTCAGACAAAGTAGTCATTTAAAAGTGTGTTTACCACTTGTTCAGAATGTTGATACTGTTGTAGCTTTTTGGTAATTTTGAACAATTAAAAGAAGCGTGTACCTCTAGAACCTTTGTGTTATGACAGGAAACAACACTAAAGGCTATTATCTATTTCTTTTACAGAACCAACTCTACTACAGATCAACAGGGACAGCTGTGAAAGAAAATCATTTTTTATTACTTTACACCTATACATTTCCTGTTAAGACATGCATCTGCTGTGAATAAGGTGAATGAATCCCCCTTTGATGGCATCATAACCAAGACTTGCTCCCTTATTTTGCCCTTATTTTATTGATATTGGTGTGCATTAATCTCTACTTCTAAATCATGTATCAGTGTTATTTTCACCTGTATTCAGAAAAGGAAAAGAACGCGACCAGCAAAATAGGTTTTCTTTAATTCAAACGAAAAATATGTAGGCCTAATGCAAAACAAAAATATAGTAGGCTATAAATAATTAGAAAAAGATAAAGATAAAGAATTAACGATAACGACAACAAGATTTTTTGTACATTCAGTAGTTTCGTTTAAAATCAAATATAACATTTAAATTATATTTCACTTTTTAGTGTCTTTAAATCGTATTTATTCGTTTGGAAAGAGTCGGTCAAAGCACCGGCTGGTCACCGGTTGCCAGATCCCGCGAGAGAAAAGACTCTGAAACAGTCGTTCTCGCGAGAGTGTCCTGCTGAGGCAGAGAAACGTTTACGCCGATTATCCTTGTTTGTCCGCATAACAAATTAATTTAAATTAATTAATTTTATGTAATCGGTAAAAAAAATTTTTTTAAAAATACAATGTTCAATTCGCTGATGGAAGGATGGGTAAATTGATCAGATTATGTGCTGTTCTCCCATAGAATGATCTCTGATCTCGTGTTTCGTGTATTTTTGGCCCTTGTGAGTTGCCGTCGCTCCAGGCCCCGCCTACGTGTATAAAAGGCGGATGCGCGGAATCAGGCGGTCTTCTCCCACGTCAACCGGAGTACCTGCTGCGTAACACTCTACCGGAGCTTCATTATCACGGTACTGTGAGCATTTCATTTCTCTTAAGATCCCAATTACTCTAGTGTGCCTGTAGTAAGGCTTCTTATTGCTCCTCCTTTTCACAAAGGGAATTTATAAAGATAATCCTCACTTGTATTTTCACAGTATTCACTCATGTGTGGTGCCCATTGTCAAACTTCCGGGTAATGCATAATCTCAAGAATCGTTTTTTTTTTTTTTGTTTAATATGAATTTCTTTGAGACGTTCACATGTTGAGGGTCCGGTGTCGGTGTGTTCGGCGTTTTCCGACCCGCCGCTGCCTCGTCCCGTGTGTTGCATTCAAGTGCTTCTCCGCCCCGCTGGAACAAAAGAGCATGTGGCGGTGTGTGAAGGCCCGGGCCTGCAGTTCTCCTCCTCACAGCCCCGCACAGCACACACTGTTCCCCTCTGCTGCCCTCAGCGCAAATTAATTCAACTGTGTGCAGTATCCAGTAATGAGATGTTTGCCTCCAGAGGATGAAACTCCTCTCCTGGGCTGGCTGTGACTCTGACTTGGCTTCCTGTCAGAGAGCGAGAGAGAGACTCGGTGACATCAGAGCAATCAAAGTCTTCTTTAGTCCTCTTTGTGCACGTGGCGTCAAACGCCCTTCAGGAAGCAAACTACTTTATATTGAACTGTTACACTTATCATTACTATGGATGTGCATTTAAATGTAATGCAGTCGTACCTTTTACCTAATAGAAAGTGTAACGTTGCAGGTTTATAGTCTATTAGCTCTGTAAAATATCAGTATTGGGAGAATTCTCTTATGTTATGTGGGGAGCAATTGAAAAGTGGACAAATTGGCAAGGAAGTCGTCCCTTGACAAGGTAGACTCTGGTTTTGAAAATGTGTCAAAATATGAGAAATGGTTTAATTCCCTAGAAACTGACTGTCAGCTGGGACAACTCTTGGAAGTGCAACATCACTGAACTTGGCGCATCAGCCTGTTTGATGACTGCAGCAGTAGGGCGGCTGCTACATCAGCCTGTTTGATGACTGCAGCAGTAGGGCGGCTGCTACATCAGCCTGTTTGATGACTGCAGCAGTAGGGCGGCTGCTACATCAGCCTGTTTGATGACTGCTGCAGTAGGGCGGCTGCTACATCAGCCTGCCGCTCTGCTGAATGAATCACACAAAGTGCTTACTACACCGCAGGTCACTGCTCCCAGTTCACACCCTGAAGGCAGAGGATTCTTTTGTAAAGCATCTAATCCATTCCTAAACATTTGCACTATTTGGTGTCAGTTGTCAGACGCAAATGATGTTCCTGCGTCTGCGGGGATTGAACCCATGACCCTCTGAAAGAGAGATGGACTCTCCCGCTAATCCACAGCCACTTCAAAGCATTACCTCGTCTGTCCAGTGAGCCTATTGCCTCCTTCCAGCCTCTCACACAGGTTGTGTTCTTGTTTGGAAGTCACATTAGATAATTGTCTGAGGTGCTGGCATGAGGAGTTGGTATCAGGATTATGTGCTTGAGATCTAAGCTTCAGTGATGGGTCGTCCAACATCAACGACGTCCTGCTGTACAGAACAATGACGGAACTAAATGTACAGCTGCAATGGTGAACTGTCAACACTGACTTCTTGTAGAAACAATAAAAGAAAACAGACCTTCTGGAAATGTTGTTTAAATAAATAATACAAGGAGCTTCGCATTTAAGCTGCTGGAACAAATTGTTTTAAAAATGTTGTCGACAGAAAGATCCCTTCAGTTCTTTTAGCTTCAGACTTGTAATGACAGCTGAGCAGGGAGTAATGAATTTGTTTGACGAGGCTATGTGAGGTTAAAGATCTTTGCCGTGTGGGCGGGACTGCATGTCAAAGTCACGGCAATCCAGTTTCAGCACTCTGATTCACACTAACCCGGGCTAGTGTCGTCTATGTTTGTCTCTGTGCTATGGGGTCGGTGCCCTCTGCACCGGCCGGCACCACATCTGCTAAAAGTGCCACATGCATCAAAAAGGAGTAAGCGCCTTTTCTTTTTTTTTCTTTTAAGTACAGGTTTTTTCTCCTGCAGCTTGTCCATTTGTTTCATGTTGTCTCTTTTCTGTTTTAGAATCATGGCCGAGCTGAAGGAACGCACATTCATTGCCATCAAGCCCGATGGCGTGCAGAGGGGCATCATCGGCGAGGTCATCAAGAGGTTTGAGATGAAAGGCTTCAAACTGGTCGGCATGAAGATGCTCCAGGTAAATTTAAAAAATATATATATTTTGCATTGACGTGAATGTTCTGAAATGACCTGCTTTCGTAATATCGAGTTAATTTTAACCACGCTCAATTTCTAAACACGAGCATGTGAGAGCAGAGTGAGCGTTAAGACCTCGGGTGAGCTGATTAGCCCGCTTGTCTATTCCTGACTGCCGTACAACAGATTACCTCAGAGACACCAGGTCCCTGATCCTCTAACATCTGATCTGGGACTGAGTCGGGATGCTTCTTAACTTCACCATGAAGTCTGCTTCATTTCTGAACATGCATAATGCAAGTGTTCATGTCATGTAATGCCCAGGCTGTGGGTTTGAATACAAGGAAATGTCCAGCAGACTTGGGTGGTATCAAATTCTTCATACTGTCTTGCTGTTTTACCAGGGTATGTGGTATATGATGGAATTTGTAAAGCGAAACATTCACAGTTGATAACCTGGTTGCCGACTTATGTTTTGCTTCAGCTTAGTTTGGAAGGTCTCAAAAAGAAGCAGAAGTTTGAACTGTCTACGATTTCTATTGTGTTCAGTAACGTCATGCATCAGGATTTCTAAACACCCAGATATACTTTAATACTGTGGTACCGCCCAAGCCTAATGTCCAGTTGCAGGTAACTGGTGGGAGGTCAAACAACACCTGTGTATAAGTGGTGCAGCAGGAAGTGAAACTTAAGTGCAAGCCAGGTATCTGCACAGCATCCGTGACTAATTATTAAATACTACAAGTTACATTTTCAGATGAACTCTCCCAAGAGAATGACCAACATGTCTCGTTGCTCTGTTGTCATTGGAACAGAAGTGTTGTAGGATGTGAGCGTTGACTTGTTTGTGTGCGGCCTCACTGTTGGGAGGTTTGTGCTTCTTGACCCTGAGTGGGATCTGTTCACCATGTGACCAGGTGTGTTGTAAGGTTGTCGTGTCAGATGTGATGGGTTGTGCAGGCAGGGTCTTTCAGAGGATAAGCCTGGAAGATTATTATGTACACCATGATGGGGGGGGGGGGGGGTACTTCAGTACACTTTCTACAGCCTGAGAGGTGTTTGTGTACATGAGTAGGACTGGACTAAACGCTGTTTGTTTGCACTTAGCGACATTGGTTCCTCTTTTGTAGATACTTGCTGGTGTTGAACTGATGTACTTCGCTTTGGATAAAAGTGTCTGATAAATGAAGAAATGTACCTTGTATTTTTATTTTTTAAGATTTAGGACTTGTCATATCTGTAAAATAAGGTTGTGTATAGCTGTGATCATTAGGACTAATTGTATATCTGAAGATTTTCAAATGATCGTGTGCTGTCTTCAGGCTAATCGTACAAAAGTCAGAACAGCAGGGCTTTAGTTCATCCTTGAGCTGAGTTTGTTCTCTTACTACAAAAGTTCAGACGTTGAAGATTCCCATGACATTAAATCATAGTCCCGTCATGTATGTGAAACTAGGCCTGGTGAGTAACTGACCTCTTGACTTGTCCCTCTGTGCTGCAGGCTTCTGAGGACCACCTGATGCAGCACTACATCGACCTGAAGGACAGGCCATTCTTCCCCACTCTCATCAACTACATGAGCTCCGGTCCAGTTGTTGCCATGGTAAGAGTGAATACAAAACGGACTGTGTGGTGTGCCAGCTGCAGCAGAAACCCTTAAGCTCTGATTAAAAACAGTAATGGAAACTTAAACCTGCTCTGCTGCTGTTTTGGAAAATAATGCCCCCAATTTTATCCGGTTCAGAAACATGTGAAAGGCATGGTACTTGTATAACGGAGATCCTGCCCTCAATATTGAGTCTAAACAACATTTTGGAATAGACACCTTTTTCTTTTTTTCTTTTTTAAACTGGACATTATTGATGCAAATACCCAGTGGTATGTTGTGTAATGCCAGCAGACAGAGCAACAATCTGAGCGTGTTGGTAGCAAGAACTTTGGATGATTCCTACAGAAAGCAACCCTTTAGTTAACACGTTTGAAGCTTTTGGTTGAACCAGAGACAAACATTATGACCTTTGAATCCTCTGATCTAACAGATTGTAACATGGAAGCTGTGATCTACAAAAGAATAGTTGTTAATTTCAACCGCTAACGTCATCATTGCAGCAGTAGTTGACATGAAATTGCTGATTTGGTGGCGGATTTTAAGAGCAATGCAAAGATTGCTTAAAATCATCCGATAAAGGCTGTTAAAACTGGGATACTGCATCACCCAGCACACTAGAGCTGCTGCCAGATTCACCTCTGAAGTTTGAAATAAAGTGATTAGGAACCCAGAATGTAAGGGTTCAATTCAGCTGTTTTTTCTAAAGACAACATGACGGTACTGATGTAGCCACTGGATTAATCTCCCATGATCCCTCTCTCTTGTGTACTCCAGGTGTGGGAAGGCAAGGGTGCAGTCAAGACAGGCAGAGTGATGCTGGGTGAGACCAACCCCGCTGACTCCAAGCCTGGAACCATCAGAGGAGACTTCTGCATTGATGTCAGCAAGTGAGTGCACCGTTTGACCTCCAATGAAGTGGAGGAAAAAAAAGAAGCCCATTAGAGGTTACCAAGATGTCAATGATTCATTCTTTACCTGACTTTGTGCCCCATTCTCCTTCACAGGAACATCATCCACGGCAGCGACTCAGTGGATAGTGCCAACAAGGAGATTTCCCTGTGGTTCAAGGATGACGAGCTGGTCAGCTACACAAGCTGTGCCTTCAGCTGGCTCTACTAAAACCTCTCAGCCCTGCAGCGCCCCCACACTCATCGGGGGACCAGTGACACTCTTGCCTCAGATTTCCTGTTTCTCTTTTTTTGCCCGTAGCCTAGAGGCCAGCAGAACTCATGTGTGAAGTTCTTCCTGTCCCACAGTGCTCATGTTTCCATTCCACTCATCGTCATACTGTACTTGGATGTGGTCTCTTAAGGTCCAGATCTCTAGTCCGGATTCATTCCTGATCTCAAGGCATTCCTTTAGAAACATTCCTCCATCTCATCGACGTACAGTTAATGACTTGAAAGGGCCTTTGACTGTCGGGTTTTGTTAAACGGTGAATATGCTTTCCAATAAAACTGCACACAACACAAACTGTCTCTTCATTCATTGCTCAGATTTCACTCGGCGCTAATGTGCACATGATCCTTTGATGGAAGGATTAGTTAATGTAGCCACACAGGATTGGAGGGAAACCATAATCTGACCTTCAGAGGTTTGCTCAGATCTTTGTGCTCGTCATGTAACATTTGAAGCTCTAAAAAAAAAAAAGCATCTGCCGTCTACTTTTGCTCAGATGGTCTCATTTCACACATGGGAAGAACTGTCAGGTTTTGAAAAGTGTTTTTTTTTTTTTTTTTTTTTAAATAGGTGACAAGTGAAATAATTTTGAAGACTGAGACTCCCACCGTCTCATTGTGCTGACAAATTAATTTGATCGTACAGTGTTGTAGTTTTATCCTCCTGACCGACCAGTCACATTCAAGTCTGCAGAGATTTTATTTCAACGGTTATTCAAAAACAATGCAGGAAGCTCTTAAGTCAAAGTAGCAGAAGAACAGTTGGCTGGCAGCACATTGACTCGTTAGTCTGTGTGTCCCATGTATGGATGTTGGTCCTCCAAATGGGCAATGCGGTTTCAATTCTGACCTGTTGCTCTGTTCCTGCACATCATTCTCTCTCCCTGATTTGTGACTATCCACAGGCTTCAGTAAAAGCCCAAAAATAAGCCTTTAAACAATGTTTTGCAGTGCTTAAAGTATCAGAGTACTGAGTGACCTGTTTTAGTGTAATTAAAGTTGTAACATTGAAATGTGTCCAGGAAAACACCAATATGTGGAGTGACATGGATGTCTTGTGTTAATTGTTAATGTCATGTGAATTCATAAACTACCAGCTCTGATTGGCTGACTGCATGGGACACACCTAAACACCAGAGGGTGTACCCACAAAGCTTGAGTACTAAAGGTGCATTCATGTTTTCCGTTGTGTAAAATGCACATGAACACCTGCTGAAGTCGGAACAACATGGGGGGGCAATACACATTTTGTTAATGGTAACATAGTTTTTATTAATTAATGTATTGCACATCAACTTTTTGCTCAAATATCACTTTCAACAGTAACAAACACTGATCTTCTTCGTAGCGTCAACGCTTGTTTGTGCTGCTGTTACAACATTCAGACTTTCCCAACTGAAATCACATGAACACACTGAAGTCGGAAGAACGACATTCCCAACTCAGAAACGTGGAATAACCGAGCAGCTCCTACTGACCAAATTCTTCAAATCATGTTTTCTAAGAAATTCCCCTCAAAGTGAAGACTACATTCTGTCAAAGATGAAAGTTGTTCACTTAACGAGGAGGAAAAACTGAGCGGAGTGAGGATGACTTTTATGAGCTTTAAGAGTTTCTCAGGCAGAGGAAGACTGAGAGAAAGGTGAGCATACAAACAATGACAGCTCTGACCGCCTCGTATTAATATCAATTAGATTAAATAACAAAATGAGTTCTTATGATTGTTGATAAATGAGAAAATATAAGTGTTAACCAAGGAAGGAGTCTTACTCAGAGAACTTAAGGGCGAACGGACAGACGGGGTCTTTATTGAGAATATTCTTATTGAATCATAGGCTGAACAGACAAAAAATATTGATGCACATGTTTCAGTCCATCTTGGACACATTGACATGACAGCATCACACAGTTGCTGCAGATTTCTCTGCTGCACATCCATGAGACAAATCTCCCGTTCCACCACATCCCGAAGGAGCTCTGTTGGATTGAGATCTGGTGACTGTGGAGGCCGTTTGAGTACAGTGAACTCATTGTCATGTTCAAGAAACCAGTTTGAGATGATATGAGCTTTGTGACATGGTGTGTTACCCAGCTGGAAGTAGTCATCAGAAGATGCTGGACGGGTTGTGCGCTCAGAGATGCTCGTCTACATATCTCGGTTGTAACGAGGGGTTGTTTGAGTAACTGTTGCCTTTCTATCAGCTCGAATCAGTCTGACCATTCTCCTCTGACCTCTGACCTCTGACCTCCGGCATCAACAAGGCATTTTCTCCCAGAGACATTTTCTCTTTTTCCGACCATGCTCTGTAAACCCTTGAGATGGTTGTGTGTGGAAATCCCAGTAGATTAGCCGTTGCTGAAATACTCAGAGCAGCCCGTCTGGCACCAACAACCATGCCACATTCAAAGTCACTTAAATCAACTTTTTTCCTCATTCTGGTGCTCGGTTTGAACTTCAGCAGATTGTCTACTTGGCTTTATTCATTGAGTTGCTGCCATATGATAGGCTGATTAGATATTTGCAATAACAAGCGGCTGAACAGCTGTACCTAATAAAGTGGCCTGTGTGTGTATTATATGAATATATTTCTATGAATGGTAAATGGACTTAGTCTCGTATAGTTTGATTACTGCACCTCAAAGTGTACTCATAATTGCCACAAGAGCAGACGCTCTTCTTCAGGGCGTAACAGGGAGTTTTCATTACTGCTGCCAGGATAAGAGGATGTCTGCCTGTGTTCAAACAAGAACTCAACAGATCTCCAGTGTTTGAAGTCATAAGCCTTTTTATTCAGTGTAAAAGTCAGATCTTACAAAAAAATCACCAGATAAACTTTCACAGCCATGCGGAAACAGTTTGCAATGCTTGTAAACAAAGAAGCCGTTCATTACAACCGATATAATAATCCAAACATTTGGCTTTATTTACAAAGTCTATCAAAGCTTGATCACAGCACAAATTTACCATATGAAAGGAAACTGGTATACACTATCAAAAAGATGTACAAACTTTAAACTGCAATCTAATAATGTACCTCAGGGGGTCAGTGTTAATATCAATAGATTTATAACTATTAACATAGATTTTTTTTTTCATTTGTATCCAAAATAAATTTTTTCACAACAACCCTTTCCACTCACAATTATTTTCAGACGATAGCAAACCCGATACATTTAGTCATCATTTTTATCAAATATATATAGCACCACGATATATTGGTTTAATATAATGAGGGGGATATCACATACAAAAGACCCGTGTTAGTATCCAAGAACACAAAAAAGAAAAGAAACAAGACTCCAGCCTGCTCCTCATCACCGCGAGCAGGAAAAAACCCTGACCAGGTGTAACCTCAAACAGGTACCCTCTATGGAAGCCCGCTCACCAACATGCTCACGCGGCAGACATTTTAACTTTAAATACGCGCTCAGGGTGAGACGCTCAAACGGTGTTTCAATGCCGTACTGCTCCAGGATGCTAATTGTGTTAGCGTAGGTCATCTAACAACTGGTCAAATCTCCCTAATCGCCTTTGGCTAAAGGGTTTGACATCACATTTCTATACGCTTATGCTCGCATTTAGCAACTTTCTAGAAAATGGTAGTGTTAGCTAGGAACTATGTTTATGCTAATCTGATGCATTAAAACTATGTTGTTATTTTTGCTCGAAATATCGCTGTATGCTCCTTCAAATGTTCACTATTCCTATTTTCCTGTTGCTAATCAGTTGCTGAAAGAGGTTAAATTATATAAAAAGGTCAGATTCTCTACATTTATAAGACTCACAACCTTTCAACACAGAACGAGGAGCTCAAATTATGTTTTAATGTCGTAGCGCTGAGAGTGATGTTTGGAGAAAAATGGCCACTATGTGAATACAATCCTTTACCGCCAAATGTTTTAAAAACATGATAAAAAAAAGAACAGCGAGTTTATGAGACAGAAGTCAATATGAGGACTCATCGCGTCAGAATTCTGACTTGAGCCACATATTTTGATAAAGCACTTTATGGTCTGGATTAAGCGTGAGTATTATGATTTATCATGCATTTTAATGTTTTTTTTTCTGTCATGGCGGTAGCGTTGTAGTCAAGACCAAACTAACTGAGACCAAGACAGACCCAAGACCAGAATGCTTCGAGATCGAGACAAGTCATAGACATTTAGGGATTGAGACCGAGTCAAGACCAAGGCAGGGCCAGACCGAGACAAGTCCAAGACCATGTGTAAAGCGGGCGTGTCACTCACTTAGACCGTAACACCGGGAAGGTTGCGGCTGTAAACGGGGGAAAAATCGAATTCTCAATGAACCAGAGTTAATTGTTCTTTTAGAAAGGGTTGTTGACATTCTAATGACTGGTGGTTTTGACCTGTCAGATTTAGAATCTGGAGTCCGCCAAGTCTGAGACCGACACAAGACCAATCAAATGCTTTCGATTTCCGAGACAAGACCGAGACTTTTAAAAAGTGGTCTTGAAACAGGTCTTTAGACCAAGACTGATTACAAATACTTCAACACTTCATGGCAGACGTGGGCTTCCATACATTCCCCGATCACAGTGGAGGAGGAAAAACAAAAGACAGGCTGGAGAACAATGACGTTTACAACAAAAATAACAAACCACAAGCTCGGCACGACATCAGCACAACGCGTTCTGTTCTACATGCAATCTGTTGATCAGTGCACCCGATCCCAAATCGATCAATCTGCAGAGACTGACGCCCAAACTCTTTAAATACTCAGCTACCCGTGGATGGAGTGAAACTTGTTCCACTTTTTGATGATTTGGGGATCAAGGTGAAACAAGAAAGTTAAATATCTACAAGGAAAAGTGAGAAACACAAGATCCAAAACAGTGTTGATTGTGCATTTGATTCTTTTTTTATGGTTTATCTCGAGGAGGGTTAGCAGCAGTTAGTCCATAAAACAGTCTTTTTGTTTGTACTAAGTTATTAATGCAGTTTGGTCATGAAAATCTTTTAATGCTTCTTTTCTGCCTTTCAACATCAGAGGAACCAAAAGTCCCACGACAGATCCCTAACCTGACACCCGATCTGTTTCTAATGATTGTGACACTTTTATTGCTCGTTTGGTCTTCGAAGCTTTCTGCGGAGCTTTTATCAAATCTGATCAGGAGACGAATAAAATGACAAAAACAGGTCGGAAACTATCTCAACACCCCGTTAGGAAACAAGAGGAACACAGAAAGTTGGCAAAAGCTAAATTCAAACACCACAAAAAAACAAACATGTTTTTTTAGACATCATTCAAATATAGAATTTAACATTAAGACAGATTTGAAAAAGCGACAACAAATCATGAAAGGGGAAAGTCAGATAAGAACTGGATAATATGGAAGCAAAGAAGTGCCCTTGTGGTGAGAGTCTGAAACGCACTCGAAGACTTAATAATAAATGTCATCACAACGAAAACCTCATCTTGAACTTTTTTCTTTAAGAAAACTAGAAAATAACGTTTCAAATTGAATTAACGAGGTTACCCTGATGTCCTTATGTAGGTTTTTTATTTTAAAAGATTTGATGTTGAGATTTTTTTGATTGGGCTCTAATCCTTAAAATAATGAAATAATCCTGGAAATAAATGACTTAAGTCTTTTTCCAAAACCAGATGGTGTTTGAGTGTGGGAAAATTTAACAGAAGTTTAACTGTGTATGTGTTGTTAGAGATGACAATGAGTGTGCAAGATTTAAACTGAACTAACCAGATAGGCTTTTAAGGACGAGGATTACGTCCACTTCATTTCCATGTAAACACAGCTCTGACAACAACACAGCCAGCGGGACTCGAGCTTCTCACTCACTATAGACAGTCATGACTCAGAGACACATTTACACAGGATAGACTTGATTTCTGATATATTTATGTATAAAATGTTCCACACTCTTCCTCCCTGAAAATGTGATCATACTTATAAGTCAGTATTTTAGCGTCAAATATTTATTTATGATTTGAAATAATAGTTTTCAGTTACTGACTCTCGTAACTGAGGCCCTTGTTTGCTTCCATACGGACGATGCACACAAATGAAGACTTCACCTTCGAGCATTTCAAACCCAGCTGATTCAGATTTGTAGTCACAAAGTTTTACATCCAAAAATAAAGAAGAAGAAAAGAAAACACAAACTTCCTGAGAATTGAATCATGAACCTTACTGGCAGAAAGAGAAATGATGGATCTTTTTATTTTTTTTATACCGGCACTGAGAAGTTTTGAATGCGCTCTGCACTTCTGTATATGAACCCTTACTCACAAACACAATCACAGTTATACAATAGCATTTTGTTAAATTATCTCATATGTTAATTATATTAATGTAGTGATCATGACATTTGAGGGTGCTATAAGTTTCGTATTTAACATAGCAAAATAATATGGGCTCTATATTATTATTGCATCACTCAAATTAGAAGACTACCTCGTGTGCTGTTGGGTGTTTGGTGTCTAGTCTTTTTTTTAAATCATTTTCATTTGCATATGCTAACACACTGCCATAGTCTATTACGTCACACTTGTGTTTTAGCTGAGCGTGGCTAGCATCAGGAGGTAGTAGATAAACAGCTGCAACCAATCTATCTGTAAAGAGAATGAGAGGAGTCTCGTCTGACTTACTGACGACTCACCATGTGTTCGTCCATCAGAGTCATGAGGAATATATATATTTATAGAAGTATAGAATCTGTGTATTTATGCCACTTTCTTTAGATCCTGTGGTCTGGTTTAAAATGCTGTCCTGGGAGAGACTCTGTGAAAAGCAGTGCATTGTTCCCGTGTTATTCTGTGGCTCAGGTGAATCGTCGACTAGCTTGCATACATATGGCTCCAACATGAGAACGATAAGAGGGGAAAAAAAAACACTTTGCATATGACCCGAATACAATATTCAATAAATTCTTCTTTTTTTTTTTCTTGACAACGAAGTTGTTTGATGAGGAGACCGTTTCACCAAAGCTTTTTTTTTCTTTTTCTTTCAATAAAACACAAATTCAGACGTCTGACCTTTAAACAACACCAAAGTTGGTGACCACACGCGCTGATTGTACGGAAGCTCGAGAGGGCCACACTTAATATGTGCAACTGGATTAAAATGTGTCATTTTTAAGAAGCAATTATTCAATGTGTTCATTTTAGTAATGCATCAAAAAAACAATATAAAAATGATTTAATCTACAAACTGAGAATCGTATTTCTCAGATTTTTACAACATTTTGATCGTTATGTTTACACTAAGGATCAGGCATCTGAAAAAAGAATGACTTGTCCTACATTTCCAGAAAAGTCTCCTTTTTTTTTTTTTTAGATGTTAAGAATAGACTAACAATAAAGTTTAAATCAAAGGAGGAAAATTTTTTTTAACTCCAAGTTTAGATTTTACAAAAACACTTCAATTCAATTTTGGAAATGTTGTGAACAAAGTTTTAAGTTCTGTCTGAAATTTGAGAATGCTTAAGAAATGTTTAGAATAAGGTTTAATTTATTTCAAGATGCGGTTAAACTTCAAAAAACAGCCCAGGCTCTTTTTTTTACATCAGTCTATAAAATGACTTTGGGACAGGCGCCAGTACGAGGCGGGCCTTTATTTTCTTTTTTTACGACTTCAAAAGTTTCTTGACTTTCTGAAAATGTAAAACAATTAAATCTACGTTTTCCTGATGCATTACCCAAATAAAACATGAAAACAAATATATATAAGATCATTCTGAAAAGTAATAATTAACTCCAGTTGCACAAAGATTGAGTCTGGTTATCGCGGCGGCACACTCCACACTCCGTATAACTCGACGGTTTGAACTTCTGTCTTCATCAACCAGCGGTCCAGAGCACAACACCAACCAATGAACCGCTGCTGGAGTGACACTTGATGCGAGTCAAGCATCCAGCAGCGCTCACAACATCTGAACCACACGAGGTCAACGCTGCTGCTCACGTTACCTTCCTACGTCCAAACGTTTCTGCTTCTACTCCGTGTTGAACGGCGAGACAGTGGGAGTAAACGTGTGTCAGTAAGGTGCGGTCTCTTTTATATTCCGCTGCTCATTTTCAGTCACACTTTCAGTTTGTTTCTCATCTTTCAAACTTTGAAATGGATAAAAATAATTTCATCTCCACAGCGACATAATTTCTGCTCGACATTACAGCACACAGAGCCCCATGTTTTTATTCTAAAGTTTATCTTAAACCTCCAAGACTTTTAGTTCAAACATGAAGAAAGCTTTCCTCTGGATGTTCACTGACTCGAGCTTTAAGTGCTACTGTGGGACTGAGGATTACTGTGACAGGTCCACACGGAGCCATCCAACACTGATGCATCATTCAAATAAACATGTGCTCTCTTCACCCAGCTTTTCCTCCAGTAAATAATATAAAAGTGTGGCAGGGAATAGAGTCACAGTTTTGGAGGTGGACGTAAACAAAAACTGAACGACACAGATAATCCTGTAAATACAATACAAACAGTGCTAATAAGAAGGAATGTTTAAGTAAATGTTTCTGTTGTTAAATAAGATCGTTACATAAGGACGAGTTCGACCAAATATCCTCAGGAGGCATGGTCACGGTTAAAGCTGCGACAAAATGTTCAAAATAATTACTGAGAAGTGAAACTTAGCTCCACATGGAGAGGAAACAGATTTCAAAAAATGTCACCTACCAGCTACGTTCAACAAAAACAACTGACGCTCCTACAGGAAGCAGAAGCAGCTTTAAAGTGGAATCTTTTAGGCTCTATGCTTTGTTCAGACCAAACGTGAAGAGAATATTGACCCAAACATTCATTTACGTAGACGTGACCTTTGTGGAAATCTGATCAGATCCAGATGTTATGAAAAACTTTTTTTTATGGGCTCCACTTTTGGCACAGAGACACTACCTACGGAGCCCCTGAGGGGACAAAAAAAACCAAAGAAACAAGTAAGAGAGGTGCACCAGAAAGTATCTCGTGAGCATGAGAAATTATTGCATGCACGAGAAAATATGCCGTGAGCAAGTTCTCGTGCACCCGTGCAACTTTTGTGAGCACATGAAACTTCTTTCCTGCCCACAGGATAGTTTCTGGTGAGTGCCAGTTGTTTTGTTTTTTTTGTCCTCTTAGGGCCTCTGTGACTTTTACATCAATTTGCATTCTTTAAAATATGTTACATGTAATTGAACCTTGCAAAAATTGCTGTAAGGCAGCGCCTTTCTGTCTCTCTCTCTCTCTCTCCCCCCCCTCCCTCTCTCTCTCTAAATCACCTGAAAGCATTTCTAAAAAGTTCTGAACATTCGCCTTGAATCAGACTTTGGTTGTGTAATGTTTGGAGCAGAAATGAACGCCGCCGAGGACGTCTTCAAAGTGTGAGAAACAAACAAACAGAGAGAAACATGAAGACGGTTCCTGCTGAGCAGCGTTGAACTCGTCTGTCGCTTTAAATCATTAATATCTATACTCTGTCATTCTTTATGAATAAGCCTTCACATACTATATCAATATAATCACTTTTATGAAACAACGCACATTAACTTTCCCACGCAGCCACCAAATATGTAAATGCAAAATAAGTACATTAATAAAAAATAAAAATGAAATCAAGGGGTTGGGGGGATATTTCAAGTACTATAAACAAAGTAAAAGTCCAGCTGGCAAAAATGTTCAGAAGAAAATAATCAAAATGTACAGAGCTGTTCCTCTTCCTGCCAGCCTCTCCGCGCTCCTCAGGCCGTTCAGTGGCTGACTCTCTGACCTGAAGACAAACAAAAACAAGAAGAAGAAAAAAGAAAGACATGGAAAGACCTGGCTCAATAAATGGTTCTCACAGTTTCTACAGGTCTCTGTGTGTGGCCCAGATAGCAGGACCCCCATTTTTGTAGAAAAAAGGTTGTGTTTTTTAATCCAATCAAAAATTATCGGATTTCAGACCGGAGAGGAGAAGAATCACGATGCATCACCCGAGGATGAAATCGCCCAAACGGTGTGAGACCCAGGCCCGACCCTGGGTGCATCCCAACCCCTCCATCAGACACATGTTGTGAGTGATCATGTGCACAAACAGCTACAAGGTTGGAAAACTGGGGGATACGCCTTCACGATGTTTCAGAATCATAAAAACTCCCCCCTTTTCTGCAGCGTGGGGCTCTCTTGACTCCACAGAAGGCCCGTCCGCGTTGTTGGTCTGAGTGTGATTCGAGGCTTGTTTAACTCTCCGCGTTCCTGATCCTGGCTGGGGGGGGGGGTGTGTCCTGTCCCAGGTCGCCCTGCTCCGTCCTGGTTGGTGTGTCCTCAGGGCTCCTGTTTGATGTAGTAGCTGCCTGAGCCGTTGCTCTCCTGGTCCGAGGTGCCCTGTGAGAAGGTGAATTCGTCCACCTCGGCCGCCTCCTCTTTCATCCGTAGAAGAGACTCTACAGAGCGGGACAGTGACACAAGAGAGAGAGAGAGAGAGAGAGAGAGAGAGAGAGCAGCAGCACAGATGAGCCAGTTGTGTTCATGCACCTGCACGTAATATGAAGCAGGAGGCTTTGTCCAGGTGATGGAGGGTCATTTGTTCTTTTTACACCTAAGCCGTTCTTGACACAGGTACAAAAAGTTTGGGAATGGCTGAACAGGCTGAAATAGCAACGCTAATCCCTGCAGGCAAATGCTCTCAATGTACAGGTCCAATCTGTAAGATATCTACTGAACTACATGACCAAATTACCTTACTACATCAGACATTAAGGAAATATGCTGTTTAAGTGCTGGCTTCTCTTATTATTTTATCCATCCAAGAGATCAACCATCGATTACTCGATGATCGATTAATAAGACGGTCTGCCCTCTCCTCCTGTGTCTGTCTGCGTGTACAGAGATACGCACGCAGGGACATGCTGAGGAAGGCTATGTCCAAACTGTGACTAGTATAGAAAGTAGACCTCTGTAGGGATCCTTCTGGTTTTTGTTTTTACAGACCATAGCCCTTTAAATAATACAATAACGTCGAATCAAAGTTCTGACATCACTGTCTTTGTAGTTTCACATTGCATCCACTTCAGCGTGATACTGGTGTCCCTAATGTGTGGTATCACATAGGGAAACAGCGCTGCGGAAGTGGGAGAGGCCCTGCATGTAGGCACACAGCAGCACACACAGCGCTAGTCCGACCTGCCATCTTAGTCCTTACACAAAGCCACCGTGAGAATAACAATCTGTCAGAAACTAAACAAGAACTTTTAAAGTTTTGTTTTTTTTAAAGTTGAATTTTTCCTGCAGGAATTTTGTTGCAGCTATTCTAAACTTTTTGTACCTTTCGATTTGAAAAAGGTTAAACAAATATATAGTCCTGGTTTAAGATGACTGGGATTTCCCTTCAATATGAACTTTACAAGAGTTTAAAGCATCAAGAAAACTGCTTCAATAAAATATAATAAACATGCTGCGAGAAGAAGAAACGCAAGAAGTGCAGATTCCTGCAGCGTTGAATGACCAGACGTTTGCTGACGTGAGGAACACAGATATGAACACAGAAGAACATGCAGCAGCATCAGCAGCGTCCACAGTGAGGCCCTGAGAGCCGGACTCAGAGGACCCCCTCCTGCGAGTCCGAGGAGACTCTGCGCTGTGCTGGTTCAATCGTTAGTGAGATGTTACCTGATTTGTGGGTTTGGTGGAGGTGGGTTCGGGGTCGGGGCCGAGTGGGCCCCTGGGCAGGGTAAGGGGGCGGACTCTGCTCTTCGTCCCCTGAGAAGCTGCTCCTCCTCCTGCCTGCCTGACTGAAGGGACGTCGACCAACCGGAATCTTCCTTTCTAAACACCAAGCCAGACTCGGGTAAGCTACCAGGGGCGTTTTACACACATGGGTTCAATTCAATTCAGCTGGAAAAGTGTTCTGGATGTTTGCAGTTTGTGTTCGGAAGGAAAGTTAAAAAAAAAAAAAAAACGGCGAGAACTTAAGGTGAAAATGACCCTCTGAAAAAGCTCCCGGCACGCCGTCAGCAGACCACCAGACCCACGTGAGCAGCTGCACTGTTCACCACCAAGATCACGCCGTGAGCAGCATAAACACATGTAAAGAAGTGTATGACTGCCGATATTAAAGTGGTTTAATATCATTTAAAGTCTCTTTTGGATAGCCATCTTTACATGACAGACATGGAAGAACCAGAGAGATAATGGTAACGAGCTTTTTTTTAGGTTTATTTTTGGGCTTTTAAAGCCTTCATTTCAGAAATAGGAGAGAGAGAGAGAGAGAGAGAGAGAGAGAGAGAGAGAGAGAGAGAGAGAGAGAGAGAGAGGCCCACAGCATGTCCCCATGCCCACTTGGAGGCCTGTAGACAATGTACATGGAGAGCATGCACTAACCGCTAGGCTACTGGTGCCTGATAACATCCTTTTTTGATATAAAGAATTTGGGTGGATTTGGCTCAGTGGTAGAGCCGTTCATCTCTCAACCGAAAAGGTCGGGGGTTCGATCCCCCACTCCTGCAGCCACACGTCCCATGTGTCCCTGGGCAAGATGTATGAATGCCATGGTAAAGGACTTGAGCTTGTATAGTTATTTTCTGGTCTTCTGACTACTCAAAGCACTTTTACACTGCAGGTCACACAGGTCTGCATGTTGACGAGGCTTGATTTCATCTTAGTTCAAAAAGTTTACTCTTTCTGCGACCATATCGGGAATCTTTGAATTTGTCCCCTTAAAATATTGACCTTGGCCGATCAATCAGGCTCCAGTACTCGTCAAGCATAATGTAAAAGCAAATCATGATACATTTTTTCATTTAGATTCTTTAATATTGGCAGCTTCAGACTTCCATATGAGCTGTTTTCTTTTGGTAAAATGTATCCATTTAGCCTCAGCATCCATGTTTGTGATCGGAGAAAGGACGCACACCAGACCCTCGAGTATCTCAAACACTGAAACTACATTTCACAAACTGCATTTCAAAGGCTTCGTTTTAACAAGTGCCCACAAAAAAAAGAGAGAGGAAAAGACACCCCTGAGAGGTCAGCTGAAAACTCCCCGCTGACACTAAACAGATGAGAGAGCAGCAGAGCCTCCACAACCAGTGAAACCATTGACAGTGAGAGGAGCAGGAAAAAAAAGAAAAGAAAGGACAGTGAAGAGAGGAATGGAGAACAATAATAAGTCACCGTTAAAGGATCACTCACTTTTCTTTTGGCCTTTGTACTGCTGAGCCTTTTTCTTCTGCTTGGGTACAGACTGAGGCATTTCTCTGTTACCTGAACGAAGCCAGAAGACAAGAAGTGGAGACGTTAGGGGACAAAACCAGGAACAAACCAAGAGAACAAACTGTTATCACACACATAGAAGATGGATATATTACTATACTGCTGCACTGAATCAGATATGTAGGATCAGAATGAACTCTGATAAGGCCTGACTAAGAGCACTGGATCCTCTCCGTCCACAGTGATCACACTTTGGTTGTTGATGTTTATCTGTTTTTAAATCGCTACATGGCTCAGCACAATATTTCTCAGAACTTTGCAGCCCGTCAAGATCACTATCTGCCGGCCAGTTGATTTTAACGGCTCCAAACGCTAGGCTGAGGACCAGAGGAGACTGAGCTTTTTCAGCTATTTCAGCTATTCTCAGCTATTCTCTTCATTTTTAATTGTGAAGGAAAGAAGGAAATAAAGTAAGGAAGAAAGTTTAAAAAAAAAAAAAGGAAGGAAGGGAGAAAGGAAAGAAGGAAGAGATGTATATGAATTGTCCATCTGCTAACTGATCTCAAACCTGCTCAAAGTTAAGTTGTGTATTTATTTATTTAGTACTTGCTCTGATTATTTTTAACACTCTGTTTAATAAACTCTGTTTAATTATATTCAGAAGGTTTGTGAACGTTTACACGACGTCAACTCTTAAAAAGTTAAGAAAGAAAGAAAATAGGTAGTGTGGTGGAATTTTTGTACTTATTTAGATTTGGATGTACAGACATCATTTTGTTTATTCACTGCTCCTGACGTCAGGCAGAGCTGACAGAGTGTTCACTCATATCTGAAATGTCTGGTGAAGGTCTGACAGATTTGGTTTGGCAAGACGCAAGTTCATATGTGTGCCGATAAGTCATTCTCCTCATGAGTATTCATCTTATAAACTTTCTTCAACTTAAGCCATCTGAGTCTCCTGAATCATTCTTGTGTGAAGTCAAGTCTTACAAATTTCCTCAACAGGTAGGAAGGCAGAATGAAAGGAAGGAAGGGAGTTAGGGAAGAAGGTAGGAAGGGAGGGAGGGGCGTAAATGTCACGGCTAAGACATGTCGACAAAACTCCAAAATATAATATAATTATTATATAATTATGACAATTATTTTTACCAGTTTAAAAAAATAATCTGAAAGCAAAAATCAAAGAAAACTTAATTTTTCTGTCTGGAAATCCCCCCCACACACTCTGCTAAGGAGAAGTCCTTAGGTAAAACTGATCCCTTTGATTAGCGCTTCACTCGAACACAAGACTCAAAGAAAAGAACAGATTCTGCTATCTAGCCTTATGTCAGCTCTAATCTGTTATTTTTTGAGTGTAGGTGTGTCCTCACTCACTCTGTGAGGCGGGCGGTTGGAGCTGGTAGCCCGTCAGCTGACACCAGCCCACTGGGTACAGGTCAGGTGACTCGCAGTCCACCCACTGGTCGTACTCGTCCTCCCAGCCGTCAAAATGGATCCTCAGTAACCGGTGCACAATCCTTGTCACCGTGGCAACACACACCAGCCGCGGCTCCATCAGATCCACGGCCTCCAGCTTCATACCCTGCCGGAAACCGTGATTGGGAACCTCCTACAAAAGATGCAGGGCAGCGAAGAGGAAGAAAAAATAATGTTACTCATTAACAAGCAAGACAAAGAGAAATGATATCTAGAATGGGAGACATTAATCAGTTTTTAAACCAAATGAATCAGACAGAGGGAAAGAAACAGTAGGCAATATGATAAAGAGATGCTGCCAAAATAACAAAAATAAGAGCATTGGTGTCACTAAAAGGTGCACAACTTTATTTTCCTGTAGCTTTAAACTCCACAATAGTGGGACTTAAGAAAGGTCAAGAAGGAGCAGATAAAAGACTAAATCACAACAATACAATGTGAGTGGCGGTGTCATATTTTATATGCATGATGCAAACCCATCTGTGACTTGTAAGATGTGGAGGTGTGAAACCATTTAGTGGTCATTGATAACCTAAAACACTCTGGTTTCTTAAAACAAATCATCAGGGAGAGTCGATGAATCCCACCTTGTTGAAGAGCTTGACAGGAGCAGCGATTGATCCCATCTCTCTGAGGTAGTCGAACCATTTAAATGGCAGTTTAGTGTACCCTGAGGAACGGAGAGCACAACATTCATTAACCAATCAAAGCTGCATTTAAATGGCACCTTTCAGACTCATTCAAGAGACCCTTTGAGGGCTCTCTGATTAGTCCAATGACCCCAACAGCAACAGTTTCTGGGCTACCACAGGTTAGACAAACTTTTGCCTGGACCAATTCTTTTCAACTTACAAGCACAAAACATTTTTTAATGTTAGTAAAATACAAAAATATTATAAAAGAGTTTAAAAAATATGCTTTATATTAAAAACAAAATTGGCAGGAGAAGTGTGAAAAGAATTTCAGCTGGCTGAGTTCACACATGCAGCTCACTCCGAAAACTTCAGGAGTTTCGTTCCTTATTCTGTTTAGTTTGTTTTATTCAAGCATGTGCTTTTCTCTAAGGAAGCCGAGGCCCATTCGCTTTTCTCAAGGACTAAAAGTAAGACAGATATGAGCGTGCATTACCTCTAGGGGGCGTGAGTTCAATGTTGTTGATTTCACAGAAGCCGACAGGGAAGATGGAGGGGGAGGTGCTGTGGTAGCAGAACCAGTCTGATCCATCCACCGCCTCCGACCCGTCGATCCCGATCATGAGGTACCCGTCTGCCAACACCTGCAGAGACAACAGTATTCATCCATACGTTTTTTTTTTTAACGTGAGATTAAATCTGCATGATAAATAAAGTGACATCAAAGACGCACTCACCTTTCTTACAGTGGCTACACATATAGCTGAGAGGTTGAGGGGGTCGATGGCTTCTAGCTTCATCCCATCTTTGAACCAATCCCCGCTCTGGTCCACATCTTTCACCTGATCAACACAGACAGGTGGACAAAGAGCTGAAGACTATTTAAATGTGGCATTAAAGAGGACATATTATCCCGCTTCTCCACCTTTTCAAACAGTCCCCCTGTGGTCTAAATGAAACATGTGTGCTGTGCCCTGGTCAAAATAAAACATGAATCAAGCACCAGAGGAGGTTTGTGACCCTGTATGAACCAGCACTCTCAGAACGCTCCGTTTTGGTGTGTGTGTTTCTTTAAATGCAATGAGCACCCCGAGTTTTCCTGGTAGACATCACTCACCTTCACTAGCGAGAATAAAAAAAGGCGGACATGCGTAACAGTTTTCAAAAACACTGTAGAAGTGGATTTTTCATAATATGTCCCCTTTAAATCAGAACACCTTCATGGTCACGACATGGGTTAGGGATTGTTTTGAACTTTGACATGAGGGAAGCCGGCTGCTGTGTTAACTATTAAAACAGAAGCCAATATTTTGCTGTGCATTAAGCGGGGTTCACACTACAATCGGGCCGATTTTGGGACTACTTCCCCACTTCCGACCAGAGTTAGCAAAGGCCCGATTATCGGATGGACTCTAGTTGTTGGTTAATTAATTGGTTAGGGTGTGGTGTGCCGAGTCGGTCATCATGTTGATCTCCACACGCTATAAGAACTGAACTGTTAAATCTGGCATGATTTGTCATCGTGTGTGGGGTCTCCCACATTTTCAAAATCATTGAAGATTTTAAAAATCTTAAATTTTAGCGTGTTCAAGGCCTTAAAAGAGCATGTTCAATTTAAGATCATTTTTGTAAGTTAAAAAAAAGAAATGCACAAAATCCATAATGATGCAAATTCTCTTTTTTATGTTGACTCTGTAATAAACTTTGCACCACCTGAAATATTACCTGTTATGGGTCTGAGCATACCTCTAAAGGGAGCATTAAAAAACCACATTGACCTCAGTCTAAGAAGGATAACTTTGCGATCCACACATGCACATCAGGATTCTTTGTTTAGTGAGGCGGGCGTAGAAAATGTGTGTTTTGCGTTACCTTTTGGAAGACCTGTGCAGGAGCATCAGCCTGACCCTCAATCTTCTTGGTTACATCTAAAATAAAATGAAATAGCAGACCAAAATTAGTAAAAGCATAGCAAAAAGTATACATGATGTTTCAGCAATCAATCAATCTTTATTTGTATAGCAGCATTTAGCAAAATTACAGTGGCAAAAAAAAAACATCCTTTAAGAGGCCAACTTTTAAATATTTCCTTGTTATTCAACATGGCTCATACCTGTTACATACAATCCCACAAATAGCAAAAGGGACAAACTGTACATATGTCACTGAAGCTAAAAAATAAATAAATAAGAATTTACCACCTTCATTGCTTAAACCTCTCCAACTCGCTGTATTCACTCACCGGATCGTTTGAAGCGATGTCCGATGCTTCTCGACCAGCCAATGTTGTGGATGAGGGGGCTGAACATGTGGCACCAGAAGTCATCCGATTGGTCCTGGCTCTCCTCGTATACAAGCCTGAGGCGACCTCCGATTACCTGCTCCACCAGCGCCACCCGTGTCCGGCACAGGTAGTTCTTATCCACCACCTCCACGCGCATCAGCTTCTTAAAGGGAAACTGCATGTTTTCATGTACCTGTGGTGGACAATAACACACCAGATAAACGAAAGCACATGCAGCTGTCAGTTTATTTGTGTATTTGTGTTTAACACAACAACAACACAGCCATAGTGAGCAACCAGTAAAGGCAACAAAGTCAAACTATAACTCGCCAGTGAGAGACACAGCAGTAGAACACCAACTGAAGCAAAAAATGTTTTCTTTTTGAAAAGAAAGTTTGGTGACGTCGTACGCAGCAATCAGTAGTTTCTGGTTTCAAAAAAGCATCAGACCCTTTAAAGGTGCAATATGTACCTCTGACACCTAGTGTTCAAAATGGGTACTGCAGTCTAAATTCAAAACATTGTAGAGAGCTGTCTCCTCCCGTCCCCTCCTCTCTAGAGTCGATGCTCACGCAAATTGCCATGTGGTGGACTCTGAAGCTTCAGTGTTTAGCCAGCTCTGCATCGGTCTGTAAACCTTTCTGTGTTCTAACCTCTCTCCATTTTTCAAAAGCATCTCCAATATTGATCCTAGTTTGAGCACGTTTCTGCTCGTGGAGCTTATTAGAAACATGCAGAGGCTTTTTAGGTCGGGTACAATCACTTCTATCTGAACCAGTTCTCTTGCCCGCTTCCATCGCTGCAACACCTGTTGGTTTGACCTGATAACTGCTCTCATATCTTGCAAACCGAGGGGCGTCCAAAACGGCCATGCGGGGGCGCCTTAAAACCGCCTACCTTCTCTGGTCCAAACAAATCCAATCCATAGTCCAAAAATAAGTTTGATAGTCAACACTGAGCACTTTTGTCAAATCAAGAAGCTAACCGCTAACAGATGGAGCAGAGCTTTAATTTCGGCCCTGACCATCAAAACCAGTACCATCAGGTTTACAAAGGGATTTGAGTGTTTCACCTTGGAATTAAAGTCAGGCGGCAGTGTTTTAGCTCCAGTGAGACGCTTCACAAGAAAAGCTTTCCAGTTTGAGTACTTATGCTGTATGCCTGTCAGAGAGAATACAGAAATTACTTCAACAGTTCAAAACATCCAAGAACAGAAGTTGTAGAAACATTTTTTTTTTAAAAACGAGTCATGCACAAGGCTCACTTTTGGGAGGTACGAGGGGTTTGCCACTCGACGCACACCATCCCACCGGGTGCACCTCGGGGATGCAGAGATTAGACCAGAAGTCTTTACTGGTGTCGTTATCAAAGCCCTCATACCGCAGGAGAGCCTTAAACCCTGCACAAACATCACAGAGTTTCACATTAAACATTTAACATCTTTCTGTTAAAAAAAAGACAAGAAACAAAAGTCTTCAAAGCAGCCTCCATTCAAAGGCGGCATGCTCACTTGTTCTAATCTTAGATGTTTGCTCAGATGTCATGAAACTGAAGATGTCGATAATGGTCGGGCTCAACTTTTGGACATGTCTGTACATGTTGCACATCTACAGTTTTTAGAACAACTGTACAAACATCTGCTTTTTATTTTCGTGTAAAAACCAGAGTCTCTTCAGTCAAGCTCAAGATAAAATATTTAAACACCAAGAAAAATCAGAGACTCAAGGTTTTCTTTCAAACAGTGTGATGAAATACTCCAATTTTTACCCTTAACAATTGTTAATATCCATTATCTGTACTGCTTTTCCCGTTCGGGGTCGCAGGGGAGCTGGAGTGATCGCAGCTGTCAGGTAGAGGCGGCGTTACTGGACTGGTCGCCATCAATCACAGGGCTGACTTATAGAGACAGACAACCAGCCACACTACGGCCAATTTAGAGTCTCCAGTTAACCTAACGAGCATGTCTTTGGACTGTGGGAGGAAGCCGGACTACACAGAGGGAACCCACACATGCACGGGGAGAACATGCAAACTCCACACAGAGAGGCTCCTGTCAGACGGGGATTCAAACCAGGAACCTCCTCGCTGTGAGGCAACAGCGCTAACCACTGTGCATCCCAATTCTCTAAAATATAAGTCAAAACATCTGCATACAAAGAGGATAAATACTGAATTCAAACATCGTCCCATGAACCATCTCCTGACGTAGTCTTACCTGCTAGCTTAATGATTTCTGCTATCCAGTACACCTTAGTGGAGAGGCTGGTGTCGGAGTTGAGCACTTCAATCCTCACTCCTTCCGCTATGCCGCCCCAGCACGTCCCCATCGGGGCCTGAAGCAGAGCACAGGAAGCCGGGAAGTTATTCAGGGAAAGAAGCAACATATGTGTGCTCGCTGCCGGCTCAACTCCAGTTGTTACGTACGTGTTTGAAGCAGCTGACTGGAGCGCCAACGGTGTTATTGCTACAGATGTACCGCCCCCAGTCAAAGATCTCAGCAGGGACCACTGACAAGGATGACAAACAGGGTCAAGATGGCGTACTGTTACCATATAAACCACTACTAGTGCTTTTTGTGCAACTTACCAGCTTTCGATTTGGCCTGGTTCTGTTGACTCGCCTGGTACTGGGCGTAAGCTGCCAACTTCGCCACAAGAGGCTGTTTCTGTAAGACTTTCGCCTTTTTTGTTGGTGGTTTGCCCTTAAAGAAAAACAAAGCAGACGATATATGTGTAAAATATTTTTTGCATTGATGAAATATTTGTTGCATTAGCTTTGTACTGCACTTACCTGGAGTCTTGCCAGAATGCTAGCTTTTTTGGAATTTGAGGAATAACTCCTCGAGCAGGACACACTGCAGAAGCGCTTGGTTTTTGAATAAAAAGCATCTCGTACTCCGACCATCCCACACATCTCACACGTGGCTGTGAAAAAGAGATGGCAAAACAGACAAATATAATCTCCTCAAATCATCATCGGGGTAATATCCTTGAAAAGCGCAGGAGGCATAATTTGCAGGTACTGACCCATTCCAGCCTTGCCGTCAGGGTAGGTGTAGACCTGACCATTGTTCTTAATGATGGGCAGGCTGGCAGGGATGGAGGGCACCACCTCATCTTCACTGTCATCTGAGCTGGAGCTGCTGGTGGACTCCTCGCTGCAGCTGTCGTAGCCATCAAACATCCCGAACGAGTCTCTCCGCTTACGCTCTGAACGTGGGGTTCGTTCAGCCTTTACAAACAACAACAACAAAAACATGACATCAGAATAGGACTGAATGAAAGGCTGTGAAGCAGGGACTAACAACTAACTTCCCTAAATATATTTTATATCTGAAAAACAGAACACCCCCACAAACTTGGGGTTAAGAGTCTTGCCCAAGGCCACAGCGGACATGTTGCCTCTGGAGATAGGGATCGAACCCTTGACCATCCAGTTGAGAGACGACCGACTCTACCAATTGAGTCACAGCCAGCAGTAGCATCAGTGGTCAAAAGGATGTAATTATTATCATGCAGCTATTTGGTTGATTATTTAACACAAATATATTTACAATTCAGAGCCAGATGTTGTCACTTTTTTCTTCTTCTTCTACAAGTTAACCGTAACTATCAGACTTATTCATTGGCTGAATCACATCACATACCAATATAAGTCTGTATGTTATATTTTTTTCCTTATATTTTGATTATGAAAACATTCTTACAGAACAGATAATACAGGAAAAGAAAGCTTTGGATCATTTTAGGTCATCCAGCAGAGCATGCCTAAAGTCCATAGTTTACAAAACGCAGAGTTTGCAGCTCGTGTGTCAGAAAGAATGACAGCTGAGCAGATAAAGGTCAATGAAACAACTCTCTGAGTTTGAAGAAGAGCTGTGCAATTAATCGAGTTTAAGAAGGTAGACATAAATAACAATTGTTGTTCAGTGACTGACTGAATAAACAGTTATAGTGTTGTGACTCCATTCATCCATTTTCTTCTGCTTATTCAACATTTAGTAAGGACTAAAGTAGTAAGAAGCTATAACACAGCAGAGCGCCGAATGAACAACTTAAATAGAAGATAAAAAAATATATAAAAAGCAATTATAAAATATATAATAGAATATAAAAACACAAAATATGCTGAAGCTGGAGAAGCTGTGCAGTTGTGCAGATATGTGCATGATTTCAGTGGAAATCTCCTCACAGAGTCCAGGGTAAAAATCCAAACTGATCTGCTTTCCCTTCAGAAATGATCGCCCAGGACTTGTGCTCACGCTCAAACAGTGTGCATAGGATCATGAGAGACGAGAGGAGGAAATTAACATGACTAGATGTTAGGACTGGGCGATATACCCAGTTTTTAAGATCTATGGATATAATATAATAATATATATAATAAAATAATGTTAAATGTGTCTTCTGTGTTTATGAGCAACTGTAGCAAACAAATTTCCCCCTGGGATTAATAATTCTGATTCTGATTCTGTAGAGCTGCCAGGTCACCCTAATTCTCATCTCAATGTCTGTCCCTCTTCACCCTGCTCCTCCTTCTCTTTTCTCTCCCTCTGAGTGAAATTTAAAAAAAAAAAAAAAGCTTGAAAAACACAAAGCTGTGTCGAGATATATATCGAGTATCACGATTCAGCTAAACAATATCCAGATATGAGATTTGATCTTGAAGTACAACATCAAGCTCAATCATTGTATTAACAGGTATAGTATGTGGGTATTCCAGCTCTATAACACTCACAGAAAAAGGAGACTTTTTTTGCAAGGATTGCAACAGACAATCAGGTCTGCAGAAAAAATCATGAGGGCTGACCTCCCACTCCAGGGTCAGGAAACAGCAGCAGGTAGCATCACTGCAGACCCCTCACACACCGGTGACAAACTGTTCAAACTCCTCCCCTCCAGGAGGCGGTACAGATCACTGTACGCCAAAACAACCGGACCTCAAGAACAGCTGTCACTCTGATGAACAATCCCTGTGAAATAACGCTGTAATAACTCGATCCATCTGAGGTCAAAGTGCGTTTGTTCACTCCATCATCTTCATCTGAAGCTGTACAGTCACCTCAAACTGGAGCATTTAGTTTAGCTTGGAAGATTTTAAACCAGGGTAACGGATCATTTAACGGCTGTGGGCGCATGTGTTTCTTTGCTTAACGCTTCTGATTTGCTGATTGATGTGATATTTGATCATTGTCGGACTTTTGTTCTCTGTGTGAAACTTTAACATCGAAACACACACTCAACATGCACTGACCCTCCCACCCTCATCTCACACACACACACACACAGAGAGCATCCCTCCTCTCACACTGTCCTACTTCTCCTGTAATAATCAACAGTGCAATATTATTACATACTGTGCAACTTTTTTTTTTACCTGTCCTGAACTATTTATACACTTTCTACCTGAGCATAAACATACATAAACATGTTTTTTTTTTTTACACTGAATGGTCTTGGCAAGGACTCTGGCGAGACTCTTAAAAAAAAAAAAGATCTTGTATGTCAATGAGATTTTTTTCCTGGTCAAATTAAATGAATCAAACAACACGCCCCCCTGTGGATGTAAATAAGAATACTTAACCCCCTTTTCTTTAAAGTCAAACACATATTTTTGTAAATGTTGTTATCCTCCTCATCTGACATTCACCTATGCACCCTGCCTTCAGGTAAACACTGTAAAAACCATCAGATCTACCTAATGTAAATCAACCCACCTGCACCTAATGACATAATAAGGTACAGATTTTCATTTCAGCATCTTTAACACTGATCACCGCTGCACTACTATCTTACATGTTAGTTTGGGTATTGGTAACATTTACTTTGCACAGTCTGATCAAAGTTAAACTTCCTTGTATTTGTAAACATACCTGACAAATACAAGCTGATTTTCTGTCCACTTCCTCCTCAGAGCATCACAGGTGACATGCTAACTGGCTGCGCTAACAAACATTAAGTCTGCAACACTGCTGCAAGAAAAAACAAAAAACAAACTGGACCTCAGGAAAAAAAAACACTGTGCAAAAATGATATATGTACAAAATAGAAAAAAGCAAGCCTTTACGTGCGCGTCAATAAAAGGGCGGCCTTATTAGATATAGCCCCCCCCCAAGGCTAGCTAGCGGTAGCAAAGCTAGCTAGCGTTAGCAATGCTAGCTAGCGGAAACCAGTTTTTCCTGTTTTTGATTCACAAAGGCTTCTTATTTCCTTCAGCTACTCAGCAACCGTGCACCTACACATATGTGGGGGAAATGTTGGGGATGTAATTGTAAATACAATGTTGATTCTTGCAGAGACAGAGCTGTGTGATATTTGTTGCTGGCTGTCCCACTAGCTGAACATCATAGATAACAACAAAGGAGGAGCGCTAGCCGAAGCAAATCCTCTGTAATCGGAAAAACTCGCGGCCCTAAAACATCTCAAATACACTCACCAGATCCCTTGTGTCTTCCATTAGCCCTTCATATATATCACTGTCTCGTTAACGACGCTGCCAAATGCAAATAAAAAAAAAAAACCTAACGCTGGGGGGATAACTGTGCCTTTTAAAAAAATACCAAAAGTCTAAATGAATACTACCAAGCAGGATATCAACAAATTACTCTGCTGCGTCTGCGCATGCGCTAGCGTAACCTACTTTCATGTGATTGGTCGATCAAAAATGGAGGTCATCGACCCACACAGAAACAAAACAGTGGACTCTGCAGTGAAGATGAATGAATGGTAATTCACCTGCTTTTATACAACAGCTGAGTTTCTTTAAAAAAAAAAAGAGGTTTAATTTCTGAAGTGAGACTCTTGTTTGTGTCATGTCCAGTGTCTCAAACATTTTGGGTCAACATAAAAAGTTATTTATCGCTCAGAATTAATGTCATTCAGTCTTTTAATACATATTAGCAGTCTCTATGCAGTGGTTTAGTGCAGGGTATACCTTAGTATATGTTTCAGTCTCCATAGGGTATACTAGGCCTGCAGGATATGAGAAAAATATGCAGTGTGCTTTACATGTTTTCTCTCCCTCCCCTTCTCTCTATTGCTTCTTTCACTTCTTGTATCCTTTCTTTGGTATTTCATACAGTTTTGTAATGTATTTGCTGGTTGTAGTCTGATGTGTGTCTATTGATGTCTTAGTATTTTGCTGTCTTTATCTGTTTTTTGTTTTTTTTTTACTGTATTTTGGAGTTGTTGTCCTGACCTTGTCTGTTTGTTTTTTTGTGCCTCATTTGTTATGTATATATCACCAGTTTGTCACTCTATTGCACCTAATACAAAAAAAAAGAAGCTGTTAATGTTTTTTTCTTTGCGATTAAAACATTGCTGTTATCCATTTGAAAAAAGGACACTGAGGATTCCTGTGACATAAAATAAATCCTTTATTATATATAGTGCAGTCTGTTACACCTCTGAAGACAAACTACCACTTTCTTTTGTCCTTCGCTAAAGACACAGTAGATGCCACATTTGAATACTGAACACAGTCAATAATACTGTATGGTTTCTCTTCCAAAATAGAACAACTTGTGTAGCCTAATATATAAGCAATCTTAATATACATATATGTAGAGAAATAAACTCAAACTTTTGAGCTCACCAGCTGCCTCCTGGTTCCACTGATAGACATCACAGTGCTTTTCAAAATCAAAGTAATACTGGCATTTTTTTTTTTTTTGTTCCTCTCTTCCTCTCTTCATTTCTTTAACACAAAATAAAACACATGAGCAAAGCTGCAGGAGGTCCAACTGAAAAGCAAAAAGGCAAAACGTAACATTTAATTTTGTGCTGACGAAACAATAAAGTGAATATGGCTGGAAGCTTTGCGCCCGCTTTTCAAGTCGGTGCGGCTTCATGATGAGGATCTATGTGGTTGAGTTTTGGGTCAGACAAGGAAAAGGCCCCCCTTCGTCTCATTTGGACTGATGCCGAGGAGTGGGATGGTCAGTGCTAGAAGAGGACAGGTTCACAAACATTAGGTTCATAAATATATACCATAAGACTTCAGATAAAAGCCCATCCCAATTTAAGGCCCACTCCCCTTTAGTAGCCCGATGTAGCTGCATGTTTTCACAAATAAATTCAGCTCTCAATTCGAGGCCACGACGCATACAGTGTGGATTTGTTAGTAGATTTAAAAATATGGAGGAAAAGCAGCAAGACACAAAAAAGGCAGCAGCTCAGTCTGGAGGGGACTTGAGTTGGGCACCAGAGGGTCGCCAGTTCAAGTCCCGGTATGGTAAATGGACTTGAGCTTCAGTAGCGATTTTCTAGTTTTCTGACTACTCACAGCACTTTTACACCGCAGGTCACAGCTACACATTCACACACTGATGGTAGAGGCTGCTGAGTAAAGAGTCCATCAGAAATAACTAATCCCATTCTCACACTTGGGCCCCGTGTCTACCGAGTGTTTTTCCGGGCAGGAAAGTGCTGGCTGTACGCTCGGGAGTGTCTGCATGAAGCATTAATTTGCTGAGAAGAAAAGCGCTGCACGTCTGTCCTGTCTCTATGACAACAATGTGTTGACAACGCCAGCTGTATGACCGACACTGCTCTGTCAACAGCGCCTTTCTGAAAGGTTGAAAGATTTTCAACTTGAGCGCTCAGAGCGGCCGCACAAAAACCACAGAGCGCTTGTAAAAAAGATGCTTGGCGCTGATAACAATGTGATTGGGCGGACGCTTTCTGCTGCGAACACTCTCTACCCATTGAAAACAACTGAAAAAAGTTGCTGGTGCTGAGAAAGGCATGCTAGGTGGACACACAGCCTTGTACGCCGCCGACAAAGCAGCGGGAGGAATTCAGGGTTAAGTGTCTTGCCCAAGGACAAATTGGACATGTGGCTACTGGAGCTGGGGATCGAACCCTCAACCTTCCGACTGACGCTACCAACTGAGCCACAGCCGCCCCATGGATGGAAGTTGGTCTGGTAGCTGGAGAGGTGCCAGGGCACTTTCAGAATACTGCCACGGTGCCCTTGAGCAAGGCACTGAACCCCCAACAACTCTGGCGTGCTCCCTGTGTAGCAGTCCCACTCTGACATCTCTCCACTAATGCATGAACACAGGTCCTGTTTGTGCATGTGTGTGAGAAGCACGTCTCTCAATAACAGAGTGTACAGCAGAATCCCCCTCAGGGATTATAAAGTATGTACAATCAAAATAATCAAATTAAATTAAAGATGAACTTTAACATCTCTCCAAGTTAGACAGAATGATGCTTCTATTCGTAGCAGCCGTGCAGCAGGTTGGCATACTGTCTTAAAAAGATGAATCTAATTCTTGATTTGTAATTTATTGTTAATTGTTTCCTAATTGAATGCGGTGTTAATATTCTTTCTGGTGTAAATTAAACATTTTATCGTTCCCATCACAAGTTATGTTTGAAGCCTGTCCCTAATAAAGGACGGGTCATAGAGTTAAGTAAATAAAAGCCCGGGCTACCATTAGAAGTTTTACGGTATTTAAGAGAAATGTCAGTCTGTTAAAGAGACAGGAAACAATACCTTGATATTTATTTACGTCTTTGGTCTCAGAGCAGCTCGTCTTCTGCGCCATCATCGACACTCCCTGAGATCGAGGCAGCTTCTGAGGTGTTCAAAAGAAAAACACAAAAATTGTTCTATCAACAAGTGAAACATTATCCAGCTTGTTATTTCATTTACAGCAGCAAAGATCCAGTAATCCACGGCCACCGGGGAGGAATCAGGAGTAACCCTGGATTATAATAATCCCAGATCATGTGTGTGAGAGGAACTCGTGCCTTCTAATGCTTTCACTTCTTGCAGAAATCACCCAAAGAAAGTGAAGTAAAGGGAGATTCTCACATGTTTAAACCTGAGCATATATATAATTTATGTTCAGATTTGCAAGTCCACTTAAAGTTCTTGTTTTTGCGAGACCCCCCCCTCGGTTTAGTAACATCAGGTGTGAGATCATGTGTTGACATTGATCATTTACATGTTTCCAGCTTATGCTGCTCTCTGTCATCAGGAAATTATATCACTGCTGCAGCTGCAACTGTCAGCAGGAGCACTGCTTTTATTCAAAACAAATCACATTGTTATCCTTTTTTCTACTCTGTGCTAAATCTCCTCCATGTACTCATTGCAGTGACTGGAGTGTAGGAGCAGACCGATGTGGAGGTTGTGGCTCCTCCTCCATGCTTCTAGTCTGACAGGAGGAAAAACTCTGTGGTTTTATTTAAACTTGTTTCTTTCGGTTTCTCCTTCATAGCTTCTTGTTTCTAAGAGGGCGCTGCCTCCACTTGTCTCATCACTGGTTAACTCGTAGAAGATCAAGACGCTCGACAAACAGGGCGTGAGGAGAGAAATCGAGGTTGTGGGTTTGGCTCTGGATCATCAGAACAAGTGCAGTTGAAGGATGTGGGTTTGTTTCACTGATGACTGTACACTGTGAATCATTTCTGCTGGGCTCGAGCGAGCAAAGCTATGAGTCAACTTGAGAAGCGGACAGATTGCACAATATGAAGAGAAGATGCAGAACATACAGATGACGCTTCTTCACTCTTCACGCCTTCAATCAACCCCACCCAGAGGATAAATGGACTTCAGCTTGTATAGCGCTTTTCTAGTCTTTTGACCCTGCAGGTCACACACTGATGTTAGAGGCTGCGATGTAAAGTTACCATCAAAAATAGCTAATCCCATTCACACACATTAATACTCCAGTGACTTGCCCAAGGACACATTGGACCTGTGGCTGCAGGAGCCGGAGATTAGACCACTGACCTTCAGGTTGAGAGACAACCGACTCTACCAACTGAGCCACAGCCGCCCCAACAGGAGGGGAGAACAGACACATATGTTAAAAACACCAATCTGCATTTACGGAGTCCCTTCCTGTCACTTTGCTGTTCTCACCTGATAAGCTGATACAGGAGAGGCTGAGCTCCGATGACGCTCCGATAACGTCGTCCTACAGGAAGACAAGAAATGAAAATGTGTTTAGAAGTTGTGATTTTTAGACATGCTGTTCGAAAATCCAGCAAGCCACATTGTATTTGTAATGACAATATGATTAAATATTTAAAGAACTGTATCTTCTGTTTCTATATTTTAACTGCAGGGATCATAATGAACGTTAGTTAAAGTTAAACTGAAGTTTAATCTTTTTCTCAGGTGTTAAAAAAACAAAAAAAGAGGAAACACACTTTCTAACAAAGTCATCAACCTCCGATTTCCCTGCACTCCTTCTAACTCATGTTTCAAAGCCTCATCCGTTGAAAAAAGCAGTTGAACGTCAAGATGTTTTATCGTGCTGTGCAGACATCTTGGAACTTAGATTTCACGTTGTTTATGACCTAAAAGCACAACGACCGCCTTATCTCAGCATGCAGCTTGGACTACACGTTTACAACAACCATATTTTCTACAGGTACGGATTGTTTTTCTGCTCAATGAATAACCTCGTCAGATTATATTTGTAGTAGGCATTGCAGCATGGTGTGTTTCCAAACTGAAATATCTCAAAATTACAAGATTTACATGTATGACATATTCAATCATTCATGATCCTAAGAGGATGAATCTTCCTGACTTGTATTCTTTAGTGAAGCATCCCAACTACTCATGGAAGATTACCATGA